AAATCATTAATTAAATCCTGTGCAGCCAAGAATCATGCATAATGTAACACGACTACTGCAAACAGTCCGCTCCTGATCATTTAAATTTCCTTCTTGCTCTTACCGACATGAGGATCTTGTATTTGAAGTAGTCCCTGATGAGATTTTTCTTTTTCATCCTTGGAGAATGTCCTTGTACATATTTATAGGACAAAGTAGAAGGATTACCAATGTGTGTTTTTTGCTTTTAGGGTATTAAATATATTAATGTAAAAAATACATACCTTGGTACAATATGATCACCTCAAAAATCTTTTGACTTTATGGAAAAAAAGGGGTCTAATGCTTTAAGCCTTTAAGTAATCATGGTCTGATTGGGTCATGTTCATAAGACAGCCACTTTAAAATTGAATATTCAATTCCCTGTGAAAAATACAATTTCCATATCTTCCATTAATTTTTATGAAGTTGATTTTAGTAAGCGGCCCACTCTAAATGGCAGTGTTATTTCTAATCCATTGTCGTGTTAGGGGTGAGAATAGATAGGCTACTCCAGCAATACTGCTAATGTTCAAAAAGGTAATTTGTTTAAAGGATGAGCACAGAAGGAGAAGGAACTGGAGTTCACAAATTAAAAACTGCACAGCAGTTTCACTGCAAACCATCTACAGTGCTATCCAATTAATCCATTACTCTTAGAAGAGGAATCCCTGTATATCCAGGTACAATCCTTGCCAAATATCTGGACACAATCATAGGCTTTTAGGATTACAAGTAACATAATAAAGGATAATGATCAAAAATTAAGCACACCAATACAGAATGCTTGGGTTAACTGGACTTGCCATGTGCACTGTAAGGCAGCAGTCTGTTAGGTTTAAAGTGAGATTAAGGAGTTGTGTAACCTGCAATTATGCTGGTTTTCATTAAAAAATAAGATGATTTGGCTCAGTAGGGCCCTTCCTTATATTTACCTCTGTTTAATTGGATTTGGAACTGCTTAAACATCTTTGAGTTGGAGCTTATAAGAAGATGATCCCAGCTGTTTTTCAAAGCTTAAGACAGCAGGCAGACAACATGATCATGTCAAGACTCATACTAAAGCCTTAATCCTACTTTTTCATCAACTAGCACTACAGCTGAGTCTTTAACCTTCTAAGTACTAAATGTGCTTTGGATCTTTCAAAATACATTTGCTGTCAAATGTTATTTTCTGATAATATTAATTTTTGCTTCCTTTCTAAAAAGTATTTTTTTGAATAGGCTCTATCTATCTGAGTTTGGAGACCTAGAGTGTAAGACTGTATTTTCAGTCCTTTTAAAAGTACTGCTTACAGACATGCATGTATTTAAATCTATTGTTCTCCATGGGGACAAGGCAATGCATTGACATGTAGCTCACATTGCTGTAATAAATAATCAACTATATTAGTAACTATTTTTAATTGTCCATGAATTATGAGATTGAATATATTTTGTTTTTAATAAGAAAGAAATGAGAACAATTTAGTTTAATTCAGATCTTTTTCCTAGGAACTGTCATTATGACCAAAAGGAAATTTTCCAAATTTCCAGCCTCAAAACTTGCATTATTTTGTAACAGTGCATTATTTACTTTAATGATCCTAGGGTTGAGAAGAGATTAAATTTTCTAATGAGTTAATCCTGCATCTGTAAATAGTAGCCATGCAATGCTATCACCTGTGTTCCTTTCCTTTCCTTTTCCTTTCCTTTCCTTTCCTTTCCTTTCCTTTCCTTTCCTTTCCTTTCCTTTCCTTTCCTTTCCTTTCCTTTC